CTGTCAAGAGTCGACTTGAGCTGTATTTCACCATTATAAGTTGCAATGGATATGGGAGCAAGATTGTCGTAAGAAAGACGTTAGTCCTTCAAGAGGATATCTACTCCAAAAATGTCTTTACATTGTCTATACATTACTTTGCATTCCGAATAATATTGAGTTTGTGTAATATGAGCAGTAAAATGTACGTGTTTTTGTTCATCTCAAGGGGCGGCCATTTTGCCACTCGCTGTCGACTGAAAATGACATCACACTTGCTCAGGGCTCAGGTAACAACCATACATGTCACAGCTTCAGAAAACAGGTGAGCCATGATTGGTCCTTACCTGTACGGTCGTTAATTGTGAGGTCGTTTTCAATCGACAGAAAGTGGCAAAATGGCCGCCCCGCCTCCTTGAGATGGCTAAAACCGGTTTGATTTTACAGCGCAACTCATATTCCACAAATGAATCAGAATGCCATATTCAGACCAGTGGAGAACATGGTACTGTTCAGAAAATTTGGGAGTTGACTTTGCCTTTAAGTATTCAGTTTGGACATATTAGAGTGCTGAGTAGTAAAGAGAGTGCACTACGAAAATTACAGCGGCGTACAGTGCTGCCAATGAAAAACGGATCTCAACGTAGCACTTTTTGAAAAATGCATTTACTGCATCATTACCGAGACCGAGTCCGAGTCATTTTATTTTCTGTGCAGCATTTTTTAATATTGGTGACTAACATTTTTAGAATGCAGGAAAAAAAAATAGGTTAGCGCTATGACGTTCATCTTGTCTATGTATGCTTAAAATAGGTTTAAGGTTTCTTTTTTTTTAATTTTTATTTATCTTTTAATGTATTTATTTGAAGAGAAAAAAAACTGGTGAAGAGAAAAACTCTTACCTGGCTGTTGCTTCAGCCTCCACTGGGGCTGTCAATACTTCCTGGTGATGTGTCTTATAAGCAGCTGATCGAAACCTTCAAAATAAGGCTCCCCAAAGCTGCGCTCCAACCCCCCTGCCGCCGCTAAAGCAATGTGACCCAGGTGTGTGGAGCACGTAAACCCCCTCGTCCCTGTTGATGGTGCCATCGCCATGCCTCCTAATGACAATTGCCTCCTTTATCCATCTTTTGAATTCATTGTTTTCTGATGTGAGGACTTTACCCCTTCTCCCAGTCAATGATGTGATTGTTTCTTCGGCAGTGTTCTGACATGGCTGATTTCTTGTTATCTTGTTCTGCTTTTTGTTTTTATGTTCCAGTATAATATCCTGTTGTTGTTTTCATTTTTTTGCAGGTGCTGCTGAATGTCAGTCCAGCTTCTCCAGTATTCCGTATTTTCCACACTATAAGGCGCTTCGGAGTATAAGGCGCACCTTCAATGAATGTCCTATTTTTGTTTTCATATATAGGGCGCACCGCATTATTGCATAGAATAGAAGCCACAATCGTGGCTGCGATTGTGTTATGCATCCACTACATGAAGCTACACTAAAGGAAAAAAATACAATACAGCTTTATTAATATAGAGCTTTCACAATCGCTGCAGCTATCACAAAGTGCTTTACAGAAATTTTAAAATACTACATCCAAGAAATCAGAATATTTATCCGTACATAAGGCGCATTGGATTATAAGGCGCACTGTCGGCTTTTGAGAAAATGGAATGCTTTTAGGTGCGCCTTTTAGTGAGCAAAATACGGTAAGTTTTATTGCACGACTTGCATGGGTTTTCGTAGATTGCATTTCATTTCTTGTCCGGTGTTATGGTGTCTTTTGGGTGCACAAGTTGTTGTCGTAGGTTCAGGTGTGGTTTTATGATAGTATGGATATGATGTTTCCTCAGGATGCATTGAATGGATGATGTGAATCCTCGCTCTCACATATGGAAGTGTTATTGAGTCCTTGTTTCCACTGTTAGTTGATTATTTTGGTTTCCTTGCTTTTTTTATGTTGTTTTTTTTCTGGCGTGCAGTTTTCCTTTGCTAATGGCCCATTTGGGTAATTGGCGGGAGTGTAAGAGCGTGTTATATGTGATTTTCTTCCTCCTGTATGTCCTGGTTGTCTGTTATCATGTTAGTCCAGTTGTATTGTGTTCTGACTACGGAGAATTTGTGTGCTGTGGGATGTTCTGACGTCTAGACTCCTCTGGTCAATATGTGAGGGTTTCCTCTATTTTGTGATTTTTATGCTGCTGTCTTCATTACGGTGAATGTTTAGGTCCATAAAAGATACGATCCGGTGTGTTTCTTCTTCGTGTGTGAATTGGATGTTTCCGGTACTCTCTATGGTGATTAGGTGATCTGTGAGTTCTTGCGTGTGTCCCGTCTTTGTTATTTCCAATATGTCATTCTAGGTATCGTTTCCAGAGTGTGGCATTTTGTGTTGCGGTAGTGCCATTTGTATAGATTTGGTTTCCAATCCTCCATGAAAAAAAACTGCTCATAATTGCGGACAGTGGGTCCCCTATTGCGAAGCCTTCTTTTTGTTTGTAGGTTGTTGTGCTGAATTGAAAGGTGGATTTGGTAACGAATTGTACAAATGTTGTAACGTCAGTGACTGTCAGGTTTGTGCATGCTCTGAGTGTTTAGTCCTGTTTTAATCTTTCCGTGATTGTATGTAGTGTGATATCGACTGAGGGTTTGGTGAAGAGTGAAATGACCTCGTGTTGATGTGAGTATTTCATCCTTTTTAACTCATTGTGTGGAAAAAAAGAAAGCTTCAACCTATAACATTTTAGGTTGGTGTCGTGTAAATAATGTTTCAATAAATTTCATTCAAAAGCCTTTGTTTTTTCAAACATACGCATGCACAAAAAATGATTGTCAAGTTGAATACCATAAAGTCATACAGATTGTATATTAATGACTTTATTTCCACGTCAATGGAAATATTGTGCAATTTTATGTATAGACGAGTAAAAGAAAATGTAAGAACATGTTGTGATGGTATTCAGCAGGGAGACACACTCATTATTCTTTGTTTTGTGGTTTGGACACAGTGTTTGGATTAGAAACTAAAGTAGTGCTGACTACAAATCCCCAAGTACCACATGTGGTTTTCTCTTTTATAGGCTTGTAATATGTGAGCAGCAGAAAATGAAAATACTCCACAGCAGGGAAACATTGATTTGCAGTGAACGCATCCAATGTGAATTTCAATTATAGGAAGGATACCCGGGAACTTTCTTCAACAGTATTGACACAAACGGGGTGCTGGAGGAACCCCCCCCACCCCACCCAAAAAAAAAGCAGGCGGGAGGGAGAAGCAGGGTGGACTTAAAAAAAAAGCATTAATAAAACAGTGATAAAACGAAATCCAAAACAAAGCCCTGAAACCCAAAGCAACAAACACAAACCCATGGCAGAAGCAAAAACACAAACCCAAACAATGACCCGACCCTGAGAAAACTACTAATGACATCATGACCAACAGGTGTGCCGCTGTGGGAGGAGCCCGACAGTGCCACCTGTTGGTCACAAACAGATCCACCATGACGGTATGCCATTCTGGCTTGAATTATTTGGTTGACTCATTTAATGACCGGGGAGCAGGATGCCAACCACTGCGCACGCGCACGCGCACGCGCGCACACACACACACACACACACACACACACACACACACACACACACACACACACACACACACACACACACACAGATATTATTAGTTGGCTGCGGCGGGATGAAGTCGCATCTTGGCGACGTAATAGTTAATGAACCACAACTCCCAAGTGACTGTTTGGACCTTGCGTCTTGCGGCAAACGGCCATGCGGTAATCCGAAATAAAGACGTTTAAAATAAATCCCAAAAGCTCATGTATTAAACAAAGGCATCGACAAAGACTAAGAGGAGAATTTTTGCTCTGGTTGTAGTTTGTTTTCAGTTTATAACTACAACATGCACATTCACCAAATGCATTTAACACCGAATAAATCGATCGGATGGGCAACGACAATCTTTCATTTCATCTTGAAATGAATAGTAAAGTTTGTCCCGAAGATGACATCACATTGATGCAAGCCGTATTGATGGGAACACTTGATGAATAATCATTTCTGTGAACCAATTATTTCTGTCAGTAATATTTAAAGAACATGCTTTCTTTATGATACAACACAGTCTCCCATAATAGCTTTCTCTTCTTGTCTTTATGAAGAGCGATCCTAAGCAGAGCACTTCATTCCTTCCAATAAGTGAAGATAAGTGCACAAGTGGTCTTGCATTGAAGAACAAAGAAATTCTCTTCGGCAACAACATTCAAAGCAGCTTGATGGACAATTCGCTGCACTTTAAGAGCAAGATAGACATTTTACTCTGCTGTATTGCCAAAATTATAGTACATAGTAAAGCTTTTATGAGAGGACTTGACATCGGTATTGGGAGATCTTTATGCTGGATTTACACTGATGGTCTGAGTGAGCAATTATGATTTAACGCCCACACCCGTTTCTTTTCCCTTTTCATCGACTTTCAAATGGCCCACATCAATATCATTGCGTTAACATTTAATGAACCTCTGAAAAACCTCGCATGTGCTCAATGTCCAAAACGCAGGTCAACGACTGCATGTCAGTCGACATCCGCTCGCGACGACACACATGGAAGAAGAAATCATGCAAATCTTAAATGACATATTCTGTTTAGCAGAACTGGGCTCACCAGGGATTGTGGTGGTTAAATGCATCGCTAATACTCCCACCGACTGCGTCAGCAATTGCTTTCTTGATGTATTTCTTTGGGTAGTCACGCACGGGTCTGTTTCATGACACCGAGACGGTGCCCTCCAATTGGCAGACGTCTGATTCATGACTGGTTCGCATTCACCTCTGGAAGAGACCTGAATCTTATCTGAGGATATCCATTTTCATGCGTATTAACCCATATTAGAATTGTGCCACGTGGAAGGAAGCAATTGGAATGGAATGCCTTTAGACGATGGAGTGTATGAATCCAGGATGAAAGTACACGCGACGGCACAGCCAGAAACACAAGATGGAGATTGATCTCATCTTTTTGACCTGCATCTTGCCACCGTGACAAGACTTTTTGTCAAAGTACACGGAGGACGTGATGGATCAGCCAGTACACTAAATAGACTAGAAATATCTCGACTGGCAGAGGTGACAAACACAAAACAAACTCGGTCCCAAAAAACAAAAACAATGTTGAAAGAAAGAAAGAGCAGCTGAATGAGGTGCTTACGTTCTTGTCGCCTGGTGCGATCAATAATTGAATGATACAGGGTGACATTGTCAGAAAAGCACGGTGTCAGGTTGAGGCAATGCACAGCGGCTGCTTTGATGCCCCTGAAGGGAAGAGCTCCCATTGAAGTTCGTCGGGGGCTTAGTTGAAAACTCCATGCTGGGAGGGCTACAAAGTGCTGCAACGTTCCGTCGGTTCAATGAAGGAAGAAGGCCTGTGGGGAACAAGACACTTGAGATATTATCTTTCACTTCATCACATTTAAAAAAAAAAAAAAAAAAAAAAAAAAAGGAACATCTTCAACTGGATTTCATCCAGAAATCCCACAGATGGAAATCTTTTACAGCGTAAAGGCTCAGCTCGCATTTTTAAATCAGATGATCAAAAGAGTGAACGCTTGGATCTTAATTGTATATGTTAGTTGCTCCATGTACAGCACTTTGTATGCAGCGATGGCTGTTTGAAAGTGCTCTATAAATACAGTTGAGTTGAGTTAATTCGATTGCAAGCACTCATGTCACCTTGCTAAAAGCACAACTGATTTACGGTAGTACAGTGATCCCTCGCTATTTCGGGGTTCGTTTATCGCGGCTTCAGTGCATCGCGGATTTTTTCAAACATATTCATAATTGTTTTTTTTTCCATATACATGGAGTACAGTACTGTATATGTTGCTCTATGTGACTCGCTCTTGTTTTGCAGCTTCTCGCGGACCGTTTGCGGACTTTTTGTTGACTTTAAAAAAAAAAAAATCTTTTTTTTTTGTTTTACCTGTATGTTTATTGGTCGCTACTTCACGGGTTTTCGTTTATCGCGGGTGGTTTTGGTCCCCATTAACTGCGATAAACAAGGGATTACTGTATTACTGTACTATTTCCAGATTGACACCGTTGAAGCTTCCTGAACTCGCAGCTGAAACTTTACAAAATGTGCCACGTATTACAGTAATCCCTCATTTATTGCGGTTAATGGGGACCAAAACCACCCACGATAAACGAAAATCTGCGAAGTAGCGATCCCCCCCCCCCATATAGGTATATGTACATAATATTTATAAGGCCAAATTTAATGGTATACATGGATGTACAAGTAAATTTTAATGTAATTAACATGACTTAATGCTGTATACAAATGGATTGAAACACGTATAAGTTAGGTTAGTTTATGAATAACAAAATACAGTTAACATTAAAAAAAAAAAAAAAAAATTAAGTCCGCAAACAGTCCGCGAGAAGCTACGAAAGTCAGCAAAACAACAGCGAGTCACATAGAGCAACATATGCAGTACTGTACTACATGTATCTGATTTATTTATTTTATTTTATTAATGAATATGTTTGAAAAAATCCCTGATGCACTGAAGCCGCGATAAACGAACCGCGAAATAGCGAGGGATCACTGTAAATCGACATGTATTGCAGTGACAGGTACGTAATTATGAAACACCACATATATGAATCAAAAATATCCAAGTTACCTTATTATTTTTGTCAAATCCTTTTCACAATAGACACAGGACGGTGGTGGCCAAGCGCAAGCCTGACCTTACTTGGCCCTGGGTACCAAGCGACTGAACAGATCGTAGCCTGGTGCCTTATTTGTATCTTTCAGAATGCAAGCAATGAATGGAAAGCCCTGGCTTGCCTTGAAGGATGAGGAGGAGACGTGACAAGTGGTGCATGTGTGCTCTTTCTTGGTGTATTTCTTTTGTTAAAAATGCTAAAACGACACTTAACGTTTTAATGCTTTGTGAAAGGCTTGTTTAACAATACAAGTTTGGATCTCGAAAAAGGACAAAGCTACCACCAGATCACTTGATTAGCAACCGGTGCCGGATTGCAGCACTGAGCTTAATCGAAAATGTACAAATGTAGCACTAAATGATTGTCATTCATATGCAGTACTACTATAATTAGATAAATTGTACTCACTGATGGTGTTATAAATCATTATTATGCTGTACATCTACTGCTGACCAATCATTATTTAAGCTTGCCATAAAGACTGGCATCATAATTTTTTTTTTTCAAAAATTGCCACTTAATCCCATCCTCCAAACGCACAGCATTTCTTTTTTTCCATTTCCCAAATTTAAACTATGATCGCAGTCTTTATAATTCCCTACCCTCACTCTCTCTGATCCTGTTGAGGTCAAGAGTGCAATACATCTTTCATTTCTTCATCATTATTCATTTGAAACAGACAAGCCTTTGTACAGTAGTTTTTTGTTGTTTTGTTTTTTTTTGTTTTTTACAAACACACAAAAAAATGGCCTCACCATCACGGTTTCCTGACTGTGAACAGATATCAGCCTCATCCCACTCGTAGTTCTCATCAACGGAGGGCTTTCTGCCGGAGATAGAGAACATAGAATCTTTTCAATCTCACCGTGCGCTGATGCACGCCAGTAGAGCCCGGACTGAATTCTTTTCAGATTATTAGGCTAACACGAAAAGCCTTGTATCAATTACATAAGATGCGCTACACAAGCAAGCCCCCGACCCCGCGCCGTATCATTTATTAGGTCTTACCTGTGACCTTTTTCCATATGGTGACCGTGCATATCCACTGTGCTAGACTGGCCGTCCTCCTCTACCGTTTCAGGTGAGCTGGTGGTCTTTGTGGACAAATGACACAAAGACAAGCGCCCGTTTGGAGGGTCCATGCTCCCTCGGCCACTGCTTGCAAAACTACTGTAGCTGCTTCCACAATCAGGAACTTCCTCATAGACTTCTGCCTCCAAGTCTAGTGTGCCTCGGTTTTTGTGTGGCTTGTTGTCATCGGGAACCAAGTTTCTGGAAAAGCTCATCGTCGAGCCCGAGTAGCCCAGTGCATTTTTTATGCCCTCCTGATATTCATCAGGCCATGTAGCATCTCTTAATTTGTGGCCAGCAATAACAATTGGTTTCTGTATTGGCCTTAGTGGCTTGCTCATAGGAGGATACATGGCAGGAGGTAAGTGGTACGTAGTTTGACTCGCAGAAGGAACATTTGCAGAATTTTGGGGGATTGATTGATCAGTGCGCAAAGTGTCTGGATTCAAGGCGGAGGAATCAGATTGTTTTTCTCGGCTTAGAGAGTCTATCCATGCATCAGGGGTCAGGAAATCCGTATCGTTTTGTCTTCTTTTGCTGCTGTGCCTTTGCTGCTTGGAGTCCCACGGTTTTGAACCGTGGCTCACAACTCTACGCAGCCGCGGCTCTGAAGATTTTGCTTGGTCGTGAAAGCTTGTGCTCCTCCTCATTTCTTCACACCGGCCTTGGCGAGAGCATCCCTCTCGTACTTGAGAGGTGAATCCGTGGTGCGGCATTGGCTTTTTTGTAGGCTCCGTGACGCACGCTTCAAACGCTGGCTCGTCCACACTCATCTCAATACCCACATTCTGCTTAGTGGGCTCGGGGATCTCTTCCTCCGCATCTTTGTAGCCTGGCCCTGCATCAAGAGTCACATTGGATCTTTCGCCATATATGCGGCAATGAAGAGATGGATTGTGTTGTCTCAATGTCTCAGAGGAGGATACGTTTGTTTGCATTTCGGAGAATGTGGATGGCGGTACATCATCATAGCCCTGTGGTGTTTCCCGTACCCTTCCGTGTCTCATTGTTTGGGAGAGATGTGGGGGTGTTAATCTCTTATTGGCAGAATGGTCTGCTCCCTCACATTTGAGGGGGATCTCTGCGGTTGAGGATGGAGGAGGATGTTGGAGAGCAGCATTTAGAAAAAAGGAATTCGGAGGAGTGGAAGGACCGGAACATGCCCTGCCTTTCATCATCGTGGGAAAATCATCGCAGTGGACGGAAATTGAAGAGCAAGGACTTGGCGACAGACCAAAGCTTTCCCTGTCGCTCTGTCTGTGCCTGCATGGCAAGGTGTGGCTCCCGTATCCCTGAAAAAGCTCATTACCACCATTCTCTCCCTTCTCAGCCACCGGCTTCTCTCTTATTATTTCTTCTTTAGAGCATCTGTACGCTCTGTATTTCTGGAGTTCCCTTGCCAGTTCTTCCCTCTCCTGAGCCAATTTCAGGCAGTGACTCAGGTTTCCCCTCTCTCGCTCGTGCTCCATTTGGAGAACCAGCGTGCTGGCTGTGGTTGAAGGCTGGCCCAGGCCTGAGCGTATATGTGGCAGCACTGGAAATGTGGGGTAGATTGCTCTTTCGCGATGACAGATATGGGGTAAACTACCGTTGGAGTGCATACTCTTCAAGTCAGGAGAACCGTCATAATTTCCCTTATGGTCGAAGATACCTGGATCCAGATGCCGGGTAATGTCACAGGTTTGCCTTGACGTATTCGATTCAGATTGTTTGCAGGGAGCAAGATCGACAGAAAGAACGAATGGTGGAGTTTTACTGTCTCGCTGCTCCGAGCATAATGGCGCAGACTTTGGGACTGTAAAAGGATGGTTATATTTTGTACTTTTCATGTTTTGAACATTCAGCGTGTCATATGGCGGTATTACAAAGCGCCCATCTGGACTTCTGGTGATCAACTCAACAGAAGGAGAAACGGGGCATGATTTTAGACACTGGAATTGATTTGGGCTTCTTCTGTTCTTAGAGAGGAGCTGCTGCTTGTGATGTCGAGTCTCGCTGTTGAAAGAGGAACAATCTGTGTTTGAGGAGGCGGAGGAGGGGGAGGAGGAGTATGTCATGGTAGAGGAAGTGATGGGATAGAGAGCACTGGCTGGAAGTAGGGTTTTCTTCAACACAGTGTCTGCACTGCCGGAGTCTGAAATCTTTCTGTGAGTGAGAGCAAGGACGAGGGGTGCGAGAAGAAAATAGTTAGACAAGGCGGAGGTGTGTCAGATTCAGAGAAAATAACAGGGGGTGAGAATAAATGAGTCGAACGCAGAAATAAAGACCACAGTATATTTTAAAACGAATTCCCTGACACTGTGAACATCATTTCAGTCGAAAAAAAATCAGAAGGGATAGAATGGGCAATGGGAGGCAAATTGAGGACATGATCAATGTACTTACATTGACGATGAGCGCTTATAGATGGCAGGGGGAGGTTCTGGAAGGGAGGGCGGGGGGTGGGGGTGTGTGGAAAAATTGGATCCGACTTATTGCAAGGTCCAAACACATTGACCAAAGAATTAACACAATTGACCATAACAATTAGATAGATGGTTACTTAGCAACCACTAAGTGAGCAATCATGCTACTGACTGTACCAAGCAATGCGGCAAGGTATTCGGATCCTTTATGGTACTGGAAAAGATCCACTTACCATTCTGCTTCTTTTGGTTTCGTAGGTTCCTCCTGCGACTGATGAGGCAGGCGGACCCCAAAAGCAAGACCAGCACCAAACACATAAATCCCACTCCACCTAGAATGCCGGCCAGTAACGGTTCTGGAGACTCGAGCAGTCTGGATGACGAAGGGTACATCTCCATTCCTGCCGCGACATATTCATTTGTAAATGCAGATCAAAGCCAGCTAATGATAGCAGTCTCCGAAAACCCGGCTAGACAGTTGGTAAATCAATCTTGCTCTGCTTTCAGTTGCGATGATTGTGGCTGATCCAAACGTGATGAGACAAATCCATTTCCTTTGAAGGATTAGAAACAACAGCTACAAACAAGGTTTCAATGCATCGGTGTCAAAAAGGAAGTTAATGTGGAGGGTACAATGGCAGATAAAAAAAAGAGCGCGTGTGGGAAGCTTTACTTGATGAAAAGTATGTTTGGACCGCAAACACTATGTCATTTATTTAAACGGCTTTCAAACTTGAACCCACGTTGTCCCACTCCTTTTTGCTTGTGGGTGAAGAAATAGTGTCCCCCACTCCGCATGAAATTTGTGAGAATGCATCGCTCGCTCCCGTTTATGTCTTTACAATATAACCGTATATAATGAAACATTAATGTCACATTACCAACAAGATATGGAACGCGGCAAACAGTAGCGATAATTCTCTCAATAAGTTATCAGCGTTGCAATTTCTATCGTTCAAAATTGTAATGGGCAACATTCCCTGGAGCCCTGCTCCAATATCTGGGAAACGTAGCGACAGGACAGGGATAGAAATTGAGCTTGACTGAGTGGATTAAAACACGAGGTGGGACAAGGATGTGAGGGGCAAGTTTGCTCCAACACCTACCCATGGTGGAGACATTGAGTGATGGACTGGGCTCGCTCAGCAGCTCACCGCGTCGAGTTAGCAGCCTCAGCTCATATACGCAATCCTGAGACCAACACACAGATGCGCGCGCACGCACACGCACACACACACACACACACACACACACACACACACACACACACACACACACACACACGCACACGTACACACGCGGGATGAAGCCTCACTTTGTCAACACAACCGTGCTTGCAATGCTAATGAAGTTGATTTGAATTTGACTAGAGCTATAGAAGAGACCAATAGAAAGCGGCATAGAGAGGGGGAAAAAAACGGTGCACAAAGATTGATAGAAGACAAGATTAATTGAAGGACTGATGCCTCCGAGCGTGGATAATTGAGAGTCTACAAAAAGGAAAATTCACAGCAGTACTATGTAGGTAGGCTTCTGTAAATGGAAGGAGAATCTCGGATTTATATTCTAGGAAAGGAGCAATGATGAAGGACAATATTTTTCACAGTCTGTAATCAGACAGTCAGAAAAAAATTAATTAATTTAAGGACGACCTTGGCAGGTGTGTTTCTTTGGACTTGTTTTGAATTTGCACTAAAAGTTACTGTGAAGTAAGCAGACTCACATTCGAAAGCAGAAAAGACACCAGGTGTGTCCTATTACTTTTGTCCATTGTTTCATGGATGTTCACCGTCATGCCAGTCAGAGATAGCGAATCGCAGCGGAGATGAGGGAGTAGAAAAAATAATAATAGTGTATTTGAGGTCATATTGAGGCTTTCTGATATGTAATTAATTGTCATTGATTTCCCATGATCGGTGTGGGTTTCTTAAACTGCTGGTGAGTCATTTGGTCAGGGAACCAAGGAATGGTGCTGCACATTTATTTTTTTCCCCTCTCTTTATTCCTCCTCATTCTTAAAGTTTTAGGGATAATAGAGGAATAATGTATCATACTGAAGTAAACGAAGGAACACAAGGTCGGAGAGATTTTTTTTGTTGTTGTTGTGACTGTGGGTGAGGAAGGAATGATTAGTGCGCCAAGCTAAGGTTTCATTAATGGGTACCCTCCGCAGTCGTTTGCCAGCTCTGACTAAAATAGACTCATTCGTTCAATCAAATCAAACTAACTCGAAACAGGGTACGTAAATTGATGGACGAACAGGGTGAAAACTTTTGTACCTTTTGCAGACCTGGAATGAGTATCTCGCGGCTGTGGGCACTAATATCTTCATCCAAATTGATCCACGCCCCTTGCTCGGCAACTCGGGACTGAAGAACAAACCCTGTGACGGCTAAGGCTTGGGCTTGTGGGAGGGACCAGTGCAGAACAACACCTGTTGGGCCCAAATTGGCTGACAGCGAGGAAGGCGGCTGGAGCTGACTTCTGCTTGGTGAAGGATCTGATATAAGAAAGGTGACAAAACAAGAGTTGCTGTTAATTAGCCACATGCACCAAAGTGGTAAATCCTAATCACAGTGCAATAAATTGTCGCGCTGCTGTGAAATATTGAATGCTTAAGGGGAGTCGGGGCCAGATCGAAGGACAGTGGGAAATGGATGATGACTCAACATGAAGTTGCCCAGACTAATTACCAAAGACTGTCATCGTCCAATATTGTATTTTATATGCCAACAGAAAAAAGTGGTGTCAAACTGCACTTTGTCGTACTGAGAACTGTTTGTAATATTTTTGTTTCCCCATGAGCATATTAAAACATTAGATGCATATCTCGATGCTACAAACTACAACTATAAAAACAATGCGGTATTGCAAATTTAATGCTGACAATTTACGGACTTGCTTTAAAGTCATTCTGCTTTTAGTCCACTGGGAAGCGGGGCAAAACATCTCCCCGCCCCCAGTTTTAAAAAAGTTTGCTGTAAACACGGAATGATTTCAAGAAAGGTGTGTCAACACAAAGATGCTTGCGTTGACTTGAGTGAATCAACACTGTTAGTCAAGTTATTCAGCAGATTTATACTATTATATTTATAATTATAACTATTCATTCATTCATTCATTTTCCGAACCGTTTGATCCTCGCTTGGGTCGCTGGGGGTGCTGGAGCCTATCCCAGCTGTCTTCGGGCAGTAGGCGGGGGACACCCTGAATCGGTTGCCAGCCAATCGCAGGGCACACAGAAACGAACAACCATTCGCGCTCACACTCACACCCAGGGACAATTTAGAGTGTTCAATCAGCCTGCCATGCATGTTTTTGGAATGTGGGAGGAAACCGGAGGACCCGGAGAAAACCCACACAAGCACGGGGTGAAGTCAAAGTGCTAACCACTTGACTACCGGGCCACCCTAATTATAATTATTAATTATATATATTTATAATCGCGGCAGAGGGTTGGGCATGCAGAAATCATATTGTGCGATAATGATGATGTTCGGTGATTATTTCTTTATTTATTTTTCAAGATACATCCAGTAAAATCAAATGAGAACATGGGGAGGATACTGACCTAAGGTTCGCGCTGTGGTAATTTCGCTAAAAGGTCCCGCGCCAACTTTGTTGTGAGAGAGGAGGCTGAACTGATACTCAGTAGCAGGAGACAGGCCTGTCACCAGCAAGGTGGTGCCGGAGATTGAGGGCACAGGCACAGAGAACCACTCCTGCTTGCCTTCATTATCACGCGCCGAAATCTTTTTAACCCTGCAGAAGGAACGAGAGCGAGAGGCGAGATGTGAAGACAAAAGAGGGGAGGAGGCAATTCCCGGAGTCTGCTTTTATGAAACATGACAGAAAAGTGGGTTTCATTAATCATTCATATTCATCACCAGCTCAAAAATTGGTTTCAAAGACAGCACTGATGTATTGCGACTAATGCACAGAGAGCGTGCCACTCCAATTAGAGTGATTGTCGTTATCTCCGGCAGAGCAGGGGTCCTGCATATCTATTTTATACAGTGCAAATTTGTTTGACACCTGAGGCAAAAAAAAAAAAAGATGAGAAAAGAGAACAAGATTCACCTATCCACAACTGAAAGCCCCTTTGAAAATTATTAATGTACGTCTTAAAATATGGCTTGAATCTCCTGGCTTTAAGTGCCATCTTCTTTCATTCGAGAGGTCAAAATATTCATTTATTAATGTGGTGAATTTAATTGTAAGTCCCTAGTTTGAGTGAGGAAAACCAAAAGCTCCTACAGGTACTTAGTCATCATTCTTTGACTTCTCAGACATTTGCATTTCGGTCTTGCTTGAACTCCGTTTTATGTCTGCAACGCAGCAATATTTTAGAGAGGGCAAGTTCAGTTCAAGACGATGGTATATTCTTCTATTCTAATTCATATGTACAGTATATAAGCACACACCCATTTTATACATGACTTATCCTCGTTTGGTTTCCTGGGTACACTGGGCTGGTCGCTCAAGACCCTTTGAGCGCACTCGAAACAAATCACACCTTTTATTACCATTGATATGTAACAGACTGCCAACCGATCACTTTCCTTCATGCGTGAATTTCCGCGCCACTATATAAGCCCTGATTCATACAATCATATATTCTACAAACAGTAACATTGTCTTATCAGTCCCCTCTTACTGTCGCTACATTATGACCACTGAATGACAAAGTTGTGCTCGGCAGTGATTTTTTTTTTTTTTTTGGTAGCTGCCAGACGTGATAATAGATAAATGAATTCCTCATCCTAAAGATCAATAGAGTACTACCAGCACCGTCGGTGGCTGCCATGGTTACGGCCGAAGCACAAAAAAGGGAGGCTTTACACCTACCAAACTGAAAATGTCTGCGCTGAACCTCCATCAAAGCCTTCCACCCAGGATACATTCGCCTGCTTCATCCCCGGAGAGACGGACAGGGATGTCGCTACATGGGGGCTGGTGCCTGCGATGGGAAGAACAGAGACTTGAAGTAGATTGAACAGAAAAAAAAGCCCGTCTCAGATTGGAGCGTCTTTAGCATCTGGAGACAAAGTGGAGGCGCAGGCGTTCGGCTTGAGCGGTGCTTTCACAGGCATGCATCCTCACAAAAACAAGTCATTATAGCTAACACAGCAGAACCTATATGTCAAAACTCCCTGGCATGGTACACGAAAAATATGTCTCTAAGTCTTCCAAAATCTTGAGTGGTCATTTAAATTGAAATCATGCATACCAGCTCAGTTCAGCGATCATCAAAGAAATAACTGCATGTGTACATCTTTTGCTTTTTCTTTGTGTTTTGTGGGGGGGGGGGGGGGGGTATTCTAAAACGTAGACCAGCACTACTTGGCTTGACAGTGGATAGCTAGTATGACAATTAAAATCTGAAAGCATCTTTGAGTAGTTGCAAAATCCATATATAAAACCAATTCATTACGTTTTTACACAGTAGTTACGGGGACTTATAAACATTGCCTGTGCTGTGTGTTACAGTTTTTATAGTGGCAACGTGACCCGGAAACAAATGAGAGGTCGGTTACAGTCCCTGAAGCAATTATGTTATTGGTTCAACTGTGTGTGTTTTGGGGCTGGAAAAGATGAGGCCAAAAGTTGGTTCCAAAAAATGGAATGTAAAAAGAGCAAAGTTATGTACACTAGTTTTTTCCGCATGATTAAGTTGACTTAGCGCACACTGCCACATTCGGCTTCCAGCCACTGTTGCACATTTTGGCCAGCCACTTCACCGATAAACTGAATTATTGAGGTTGTAGTCTGCAGTGATGCTGAACCGAAATTCCATTATGTTGGGAGGCATCATTTATCGTGAACACGATAAGAAACACTTTTTTTTTTTAAACGCCTTCAATTTGCACTCACCCAAGACAAAGATTTGAGTGAAGGCTTTTACAAGGGCCACATGGTTAGAAAGACTGCATTCCCACATGCCGTGGTGGTCCTTTGCGAGGGGCCGCAGCAACAGCGAACCATTGTGTGTGACGGAATAAGCTCTGTGACGAGCCAGGTCAACCTTCAAAAAAAAAAAAAAAAAAAGAGAGATTGAAGAATGCAACTCTTAATAACCCATAAGTGCTGTGTGTCATTGTGTAACTGAGAGCATTTGCTCAAGAGAAAGAGTGGCATAATAGAACCAGTAGATGAATGCATTTGTAACCATATATTGATTTGCAGCCTTCCTACAAGAGTCTGAGGAATTATTTCTGTAATTCCTGTGTACCGTAATTTCAAAAACTGATTTTCCTTTAAAGTCAAGTATTATGCGGTACCCCGATTTGCTCATATGCAGGCTCAAAAATTGAATTATTATCTGCATAGTCATTTGATAGTTTGGGATTTCCCAAGGCCTGCGACCCTCCTGGGGATAAAGTGGTTCGGGTAACGGATGGATGGATTTCTTAAGTTCAGACGTGTCGGTTTTTTGGTGGAAAGAGAAGTTGTCTCACCTTGCTAACAGTTTCGGCCGTCAACACTCAAGCCTACAGATTTGAAAAGGGAGCGACGACAAGCCCCTTTTTCATGCCTACGGCACCACTAAGCTAGGTGGGTCATGTCGTTTGTGCATTTCATGTGTGCGCACTATAAAAAAAAAACAACCAACTATTATACATTGATAGCACAAGCTTTGGTATTGAAAAAAATAATAAAGCTCATAAAAAGGGGTTGAGAAATGAGCAAGTTTTAATTTTAAAGGACTTAATTTCAACCTCCATATGACCTTTGCTGGGAACGTTGCCATCCCTAACGTGGCCACAACTTGGGCACGACGTTAGTCGGCTGCTACGGCATGCTAGCATATCTACTTTTCATATCTATATTAAACACGAAGAGAAAAATAAGACCCAGATAGGCGCAGAATCCGACCGAGTGTTGTAAATACGACAATGTGGTGACAAAGACTTCTTGCCGTCTGAGGAATCAACCTTTGTTATTCAAAACATTTATAATCAAACATTCTATTTATGGACGTTTAGCGACGTTTGGGACAAATCCGCTCGCAAAGCTGTCACAAGTCTTGGTATACCGAAGAAAGGGTGTCATAGGTGCGAGTACACGTGGGTATGCAATCACATGAGGATGTTGTGATCACTTTGCAGATACTTTGATGACTGCAGCAATTAGAAAAGTAATATTGGGCTCAAAGGATAAACAAAGAGTAAACCCTGAATCCAAAAACGCACGTGTACAACATACTGATCGGTTCTTAGTTTCATGGGGGAATTACGTGGATCGATAGCATTAGACATGAAATATCATATTCATATATTACTAGTTTTTTTTTTTTTTTTTTTTTGTATTCCAGAGAAATGACAGCAATCCTGCTAATTCTTGAATTAACCAACAATCTTTTATTACGATGAGCAGCAGACCGGATTGAACATCGGGTCATGAGGTTATACGTGACTGCTATCTTTCAAAGTCATCTTCCTCACGCACTAAAAATATATTATGATCACTCTGGCTATTAAATCTGGTCCCCATAGAATGTGTTAATTAGTGCAAGGCAGATTCTGGGGGAAGTGGAACGTCGAGTTGCTTGTAATGTGCTGAGTCCTATTACGGCAAATTGACTTTTTAATTCTTTGTATACAAATATTTGGGTCTCCGAGTGCCTGCCCACTCTTCAAGTGTGAAATTACACAACCAAGTTAGTCTCTTGTTATCTGCCTATTTTTTGTGAGCAAGAGATTTGTACCCCACTGTTTCACACCATTGTAATTTACATGACGGCTGCCCCCATACCAACTTTCTGTTTGGACAGATCAATGTCAGAGACCTTTTATTAAGACACCTGGGAACGGGTTTGAATTGTGCGGAGGAACTAAACTGCATAATGTCTTCTTTCAAGAGTGTCGACCCCCTCTTCAGTTTCAATTTACCTTGGTCCAACTGACTTTAACTGTGGAGTCGTCATTGCCTTGACACGGGATGAGCAAGGTTCGACCAACCTTCTGTTTGTACTGCTTATCTGGAGTGATGCTGAACGATGGGGGGTCCTGTGAATTGTACAAGCAATACATCAGAATCATGGCACTTGCACCAGTGCCAAGAATGCACACGAAGGCAGGATTAATGCCGCTTTAGACAAGATTATTTTAATAACAGAAGGATTAGCCACACAATTAACTCCCTAATAGTGCAACTAGGGCGGCACGGTGATCGACTGGTTAGCACATCCGCCTCACAGAGGTCCGGGATTTGATTCCAGCCCCGGCCTTCCTGTGTGGCATTAGGCATGTTCTCCTCGTGCCTGTGTGGGTTTTCTCCAGGTACTCCAGTTTCCTCCCACATTCCCAAAACATGCATGGTAGGTTACTTGAACACCCTAGATTATCCTGAGATCTGACTGTGAGCGTGAATGGTTGTTTGTCTATGTGTGCCCTCCGAATGGCTGGCAACCAGTTCAGGGTGCACCCCGCCTACTGCCCGAAGACAGCTGGGATGGGCTCCAGCTTGCCCCACGACCCTTGTGAGGATAAAGCGGATCAGAAAATGGATGGATGGATAGTGCAACTATCATTGTGATTTAGAGCCAGCTGCCATTACTTCCAGAGTTGTAAGGACCTCAACGTGAAAAGGTCAACAAAATGTCGTTTATGAGTCAGTGTGACAGATGCCATTTCGGCCGGACTACTAGAGAGTGGTCAACAAGAACATATTTGTTCAAATTCATTGCTGGTCGGAATTTTAAGCACATTTACTTTCCATGATTTTATCCCATATTTTAAAACCACATATACAGTACTAAAGTTTAATCACCTTTCAATGATAATGTGTAGTGATTTTCTTTGCCACAACACCACCAAAAAATAAGGTAAGGTACCATTTTTCAGTCAAACTATACAGCACGATGATCACGCGCATGCTTTCAGGTGGACTCAGTCAACTGTGTTACAAAATCACAATTCATCACCCGGGAAAGAGCTGCTCACACATTCGAGACAGGTCGCAACAAGCAAAGATGTTAAATACTGTACATGACAAATCACTTGTGTGCACACTAACCTGCAGAATGACCTGGGTTGGTCCAGATTGTCCCATGCTGCCATAGCTGTTGAATGGGGTGCAGGTAAACACTCCCTCTGCATCATCATTGACCGTGGCCATCAGCAAATTGCCTTCGACTGTCATGGTCCACCCTGGATACTGTGAGAAAAACACAGCATGCTGAAAAAAACCACCAGGTACCATTCCCTCCAGCAGTTACTTTGCCCCTGCCAGCATTTTCAGAACCGTTACTGCAATCATTATACAAGCACTTGACAAGTACCGTATTTTCCGCACTATAAGGCGCTTCGGAGTATAAGACGCACCTGCAATGAATGGCCGATTTTAAAACTGTTGTCATATAGGGCGCATCGCATTATCAGGCACATAGAATATAGAAGCTAAATTAGTGGCTGTGTTGTGTTATGCATCCACTAGCTGGAGCTACGCTAAAGTGAATACAATACAATACAGCTTTATTTATATAGAGCTTTCACAACTGCTGCAGCTGTAACAAAGCACTTTACAGAGCATTTAAAATGCTACGTCTAAAAAAATCAGAATATTGATCCATATATAAGGCGCATCAGATTATAAAGCGCACTGTCGGCTTTTGAGAAAATTAAATGCTTTTCGGTGCGCCTTATAGGGCGGAAAATACGGTAAATGTTTTGATTTTTTTTGTTTTTTTTAATGGGAAAAAAAACTGTAAGAATTAAATAACTTTAATAAAACATTCCGAAAGTAGGCGATGGTAAAGGATCATCTCTACTGCGCAGTCATATAGTCCTCAAAATTAAAAAGTGTGCAGACACTTTGTAAAATCACACACAAATTGTAATACTGTATATGTAATCTTCATGACTACATTGGTAGAATGTAATAAAATCACTTAACATTAGCGTTATATTGGTACTATTATTGCTTAATATCGTCATTTAAGTGAGTTCATCAAGTTGATGCCAATTCATTGTTGGTGGCCTTGTGGCTTTGCACAAAAGCTGAATGTCTGACGAGCTAGTTCTTAACCACTTATAGAAAAAGCACTTACATCTGCTACTGGGAAGGCCTTCAACTGTCCTTCCCCTGTGTCTCCGACTTTTGTGAAATTTTCATTGACGTCACTATGCTATTACTGTCGAACCATCCCCATGAGTCTTTGACAGGTGTGTGGCTGTGATTCCGAATGATTGTGACGGCGGTGTTAGAAGTGAGATAATTAGAACCAGTGTGGCTCCACATGACTTCGTTACACACTGCAGGAAACATATCAAATTTCATGTGGCATGTCTTGTCCATTGACGTGACTTTCTGTCCAAAATAGTGGCCTAATTTACACAAAGTTTGTGCATGCAAGAGTGGTCGCAAAGCAAGCGCAAACAGATGAGGAAGCTGACCTACTAATAGTGATGAGCAGGCGGGTCCCAAAAGTGCTAAATTGCTGCACGGTTTGTCTTGCGTGTGATTTATCAAACCTGAGATTCATGACCGTGGTCGATTTTGCGTCTGTCAATTGCGCAACGGAACGGCACGGTGCAAATCAGCCAGCAAAGTGGTGCCAGCATAGCATGGACAAAATGAAAAAAGGTGGGGAGAACTTTCCCGCCGGCATTTCTGAACATCGTGACAATTGGTGCTTGCCTGTTCCAGAGCAGCTTTCCAGGTGTGCTGTCCTAATTTTTAAACGCACAGGAGGGGCTCATACATCCATTTGCCACACACACGGTGAATTAAATCCCCAAAAAACGGTTTAAGCAGTTGTTGGCCTCCACAAAATGATCAGAGTAATAGATTTCCTTTCTGTAACTCGGTAATGTTTTCATCTTCCACTAACACTTCCAATTCTATCACTTGAAAGTTGATTTTGCACATGCGGTGCTCCCCCAGATCGTCCAGGAGGGGAAAGAAATATTCCCAGTCTTTTAGCTAGGCTGCTGTTGCTATGATTTACACTTGTTTTGAGCTTCTGGTATCTCCAGGCCATTCAGACATTCTCAGAGCATATTCAAGGCAATATCACAATATCACTTCAAAACGAGTGTCATCGCGATTACGCATGACAACACTCACCACCGCTGAGTGTTTAAATCCGTGTTATTGTTTTTTTGGGAGTAGAAAATAATGGGAGTAGCTTGAGCAGTGTGGGGTTGCTGTCCCCGCTCTTGTGACCAACACACTGTTTGCTGACATCATGTTGTCATCCTGTGATCAGGATGGTGACAAGCATGAGAAGGACGTGTCAGCCGGCTGTGGCTATTTATGATTCTTCCACACGCTACTGAGGCTCCCGACAGTTAAAATGTACAAAATCCCCATGTCTTACTTCTTATTTGATACTGATGAGACTTCATCACACAACAGACATTTCGGAATTCCAGATAAGTCAGCAGACTTTGGGTTAAAAAAATAGAAGCATGCAATCGATGACGCAATAGGGATCTGAAATCTGGTCGAAACAGAGCTTTCATGGATAGATGTGTTCTTTCTTACCAAGGACAAGTCAAGTGGCTTTCCATCTTTAGTCCAATCCACACGCAGAAGAGGAGGCTGAGCTATTAAGGGGCAGTTAACCATGCCGTCCATGCCTGTGGGAAGATAGGTTTCCTGAGGCATTGGAAGCGCCTGGGCAGGATCTGAGAGAAAGAAAGCATTGAAGTGGCATTCATGATTTTTTTTTTTTTGGGACGAACCACAGCAGACCATTTCATCCACAGCGGAAGTCACACATGCTGGTGAGACTGCACTGTGACCTGTGAACAGATTGTTTCGTCATACTACAATTTACAAGTGCTCGAGTAATTTCCCATAGGGGGTTTTTACAGGTCTCATTGAAAATAAGATTTATTCAGTCTAACAGCACCTCAGAACCGAGTAACTACGTGTTTAAATATACATGTGTTTTTCTAAGCCTTAACAAGGCACGTTACGAGAAAAAAAAAACAATGAGAAGAGAATAAAAGGGATGATACACCAGCTGCATGATGGAATGAGATTCTAATATTCAAAGCAATAATACTCCGGCATCAGCATATGTAACTTTTGAAGAAAAGTTAAAAGTTCAGGTTGCTATTTTTTTGTCTTCAACAGTTAACAGTGCTTAGTTTATTATTCATTTTGTATGCTAATACTGCAATTTGAGAGGAAATGCTGTAATTACTTGTGACCAGTGTTATCGTCATCTCGAATTCTACGGAACAGTTTGGAGAAAAAAATGTTGAGTTCCATTTTTATGCTGATTAAAACTAAAATTGACATGCTGAAAATTTATGTTGATGTCTTTACTTATGCTAACGTCAACCTCTGAAAATATTAGAATGATCGCCCAAGTATTAGGGATTTTAGAGGCGCTCACTACAAAGCTTTGGTCACTTCAAGAGAGAAACGCATCGTCCATAACATACAAAACACATGACATGTCTTGCCACATGACACAATCAATCACCTAAACTTTATTATGAATAGCAGATTAGAGGGACGGGCGAAAACCCACTTCCGTCCTTACTTAGTTGATCCTTTTTAAAAAAAAATTCCTCATCCTCTGTCCTCCACCCCCCTTAGTGTTTTATTTACATAAATGGCAATTCTCAAGCCCAAAACAAAAAACAAAATCAATTTGGATTCCACATGCAATAATGATTTTCAAACAGCTGTACACGTAATGTTTGACGGGCGAAAACCCACTTCCGTCCTTACTTAGTTGGTCCTTTTTAAAAAAAAAAATTTCTCATCCTCTGTCCTCCACCCCCTTCGTGTTTTATTTACATAAACGGCGATTCTCAAGCCCAAAACAAAAACCAAAATCAATTTGGATTCCACACGCAATAATGATTTCCAAACAGCTGTACACGTAATGTTTAAAAAAAATCGTGTTCTTCAGTATCATCATGATTTAAGGGGTGTCCAAACGGCAACCTTTACTCCGATGTAGCACCAGGGCTACCCCCCATAGAGTGTTCACACGTAAGTTATACCGGTGTAGCCCCTGAAAACAGCTTAAACTGGAGCAAATTTAACCCTGCTCAGGAGGTAGTTTAAAAATTTACTCCGGAGTAAATGCTAGTTACGGGGCAGCACTGTTAAAAAATGGGACGTGTGAACGCTACAGGGGTAGACTCGCTACGCGTGAGAAGAGTTGATTACAAGTGGGTATTGAATGCGTCGCTTTCGTGCTCTGTTTTACTTCCGCCATCTTTCCTTTCTCTCTCTCATCCTTTTACGGTGTCTGATAGACCACAGTGTTGATTTGTCTGGAGAAGTATAAACCATGGTTTTTCGATATGTCACAAACAAGGCGGGGAAAAGGAAGTACCGTACACTTTACACATGCGCATGTTTTATTTCCGTATTTTTCCGATCGTATTGCACGGCCGCAGAAACTGCCATGTGAACGCAAGTGGGGCTGCACCGGGGTTAACACACTTCTCTTTAGTAAGCAGCTTTATACGTGTGAACGCTCCACAAAATTTACACCGGTGTAAGATATATCGCAACAAAATACATCGGTGCAGCACCGATGCAAATGTGTGCTGTGTGAACACCCCTATTGTTGAAACACTAGCCCAAAAAAATACAAATACACTCACTGAAAAGTCAACAAAGTTTCATTTGGAGTACAAAGAAGCAGCAAAGCTAAGTATATACTACCGAAAACCATTTTTTTATGGCCCAACAAAATTTCAATGATTAAGAAATACGATGGCGCCAAGACTTGAATTTGTTCTGTGACAATGCTCGTAACTCAAAACACGCTTATCTCAATTTTGGAACATGGTCACACTGTTGCGTGAGAAGATTTGAAACATATCTTCTGAGGTGCTGAGTTAATAATTCAACAATACCAGGTTGAAAATTTGGATGCGGGAAAACATGGGAAATGTGTATGCAGGAAAACACGCACGCACGCACGCACGCGCACACGCACACACACACACACACACACACACACACACACACACACACACACACACATATATACATATATCCCTGATCTCTGATAAATGGACTTACGCATGACTGTGAGGATGGCAGAGGCAGTGGGTGGTGTCAGCAGGCCATTAGTGGGTGCACAGGTGTAGTTCCCAGAATCATCTGGGGTGAGACTTGAGATGAGGAGAGTTCCATCCACCATGATTTTCACACGCGACTTCAGCGACCTTCAAAGACAAACGTGCTTCCAAATGAAAAGAAAAAAAAACAGCTGCCTCGGAATCACAATGACAAACAAGGCAGCGTTTGTGTGCTCGCCAAGGCTCTCGACACTGCAGGAGGTGTTGTGTTGTTTCTTTTTCCGATCGCCAAGGTGGATGTTAAGGAAAACTGATTGCAGTTTGAACGCCTTCTACTTCGTCCTGCGCAAGGCACGAGTTCCATTCACATCAAAGGGGACTCATCACATTTGCTGACTTAATGTGTCTTACCTGTCTTTATACGGATGTTAACTCGTGACTGAACGTTGCTGTTAGCGCACCCTTTTTTTTCCCAACGAGCAATGAATCAAATGACTAATGTGAAGCAGTTACTCCCCGCTATGAACACACAGAGATTTACCGCCAACTCAGTGGCTGTAAGCAGCTTTCTAGCCTCATTTCACAACAAAATAAATGTATGACTCAGTCGCGGTGCTCCCATCAAATCGGTATCTAGCTGCAGACATCTGTTTCCACAACATAATGTCTGATAAATTCTCTGTGCACAAACCGCTCCAGAACATCAACACGGGAAAATCTCATAACAGAAGATTGGAACATTTACGTATATGTCTGATTTGACATATTTTCAAAAGACTGCAAGTGTACAAGCCATCAAATGAGTGAATATTAATTATCTAAGAACATACCAGCAGGTGATTAACCTCGAAGCTGGATGCAAAGCAAAAATTAGCAACTCATTCCAGTTTTTCCCAGAAGATCTTATAAATGTTGTCAGGTGGAGAAAAGCAATAGAATACTTATGATGAAGTTGACATCTTTGCTATTCGCGAAGGTTAGGGACTGGGCCAGTCCGTGAATAATGAACATCTGTGTACTATTGACCCCTTTAAAATGCATTGGGGATTTTTAGTTTTGTTTCGTTTTTTTAACGAGACCTCAAAAATGGTTCACAAGACGTTGATAAACGATTCAAATGTTTTCCATGAAACGAATGGGGTAAAATGGGGAGGAAATACGTATTCATTTCAAAGCAGATCTGCCTCAGAGTGCAGAAGTGCAGGCTTCGATTCCGGCTCCAGCTTTCCTGTGTGGAGTCTGCATGTTCTCCCCGTGCCTGCGTGGGTTTTCTACGGGTACTCCAGTTTCTTCCCACATTCCAAAAACATGCGTGGCAGGTTGATGAGACACTTGAAATTGTCGGTCGGTGTGAGTGTGAGTGCGGATGAATGTTCGTCTATGTGTGCCCTGCAATTGGCTGGCAACCAGTTCAGGGTGTCCCCAGCCTACTCCCCGAAGATAGCTGGGATAGGCTCCAGCATGCCCCGCGACCCTTGAGAGGATAAGCGCATTAGAAAATGGATGGATAGATGGATATTTATTTCAATAAAATTTTGCAAGCTTAATGCAAAAAGGAAATGCAAAATGTCAAAGTGAATGATGAATAACAAATGAATGACAGCATTGTTGCAGTGTTGTAACCCTTTAAATCATGGATATTAGACAGACTTCATCGCAACACAGTACACACCGGTATTTTCTAAGCTTTGAGAAAAATGCCAACGACTTCTGTCACTTTCTGAGATAGTTGTCAAACTCTTCATCATGTGTGTCTCTGTCTGTATTACAATGACCCCAAGTGGCCAAGGCACGCAAACCGGAAGAAGCAGAACCATGGTCACTAAGTTCAAGCAAAAACACATGGCAGAAATGATGTCATTGCTGTATCTTTGTATAAAGTACAATATTAGAGACTGCTATTTGGCTTATAAAAATCTATATAAAAATGTAGTTTTGTTTTGTTTTGTTTTG